GATTGTTTCGAAACATCTTCATCACCTTATGAATATTCATGCAATTGTTTCCAAACATCTTCATCACCTTATGAATATTCATGCAATTGTTTCCAATCATCTTCATCACTTCATGAATATTCATGAGATTGTTTCCAAACATCTTCATCACTTCATGAATATTCATGAGAAATTGTTACTGTACATCATTTCATTCGTGCATATTCAAGAGATTGTTAAATTATCATCACCTGTTTACTGACAAATAAATTTATACATGTAATGACTATCGTTTCGACTTAATTTCGTAGGGACTTTGTTCAGGAAATAAGCTAATCTTTGATTCACAACAATGTACTTCAAAACACAAAAAAGTAACAACATAGAAATTGGAAACATGCATGTATTATCTGAGCACATTGTGCAACTGTTTCATGTTACAAGCTATGCTCTAAATATGGCTATTTCTATTTTTAGTAAATCAGCCCAATCGTATTATGGTCACTGTGTTATTGTGGTGTGACTGCTCAAAATGTTTACTATCATATTTAAAGCGGGCGAGTCGTCACCTGCGCATGCGTCAGATGGCCATAGAGTGCCATTGTTTACAAACTAGCATCTACCCATGAGCCTTTGCGTTTTTAACGTGTGTTGTTATCGTTGCTTGGGACTCGATTCATGTGTGAGCATAGGTGATGGCCCTCTCGCTTTAACATGAGTCGTTAAGTAATATGATTTATTTTTGATTGTAGGATTTTCTTGTGGACCTGGTGAATATTTAGATGTAGAGGATGAGACTGACCTGAGTTGTAAGAAATGTCCTACTGGAACTTACTCTTTGGGTGGAGGTGTGCGATATCAAGACTGGTCACAACTACCAGTAGGCTTCTCATTGTTGTCCGAGAGTGTGAGTGATGGATGGATGGAAAGTAAAAGTAACTGCAACCAGTAAGTAATATCTAATACCTTTTTTTAGTTCCACTGTCGACTTTGTCGAGCGGAGCTTATCATATGAGTGATTGATCAACTTTTTACTTTTTCGTCTTCTTGTTGAAAACCGCAAGTCCGATTGCTTTGATATCATACATATAGGTACCTCAAGTAGACCTCTTTCAGATTTGTTCATTTTGTGATGATACGTTCAATTCTCTAATTTTGATCATTTTGTCATTTTTGGTAAAAAGTTATATTTTCGTCTTGTTGAAAACCGCAAGTCCAATTGCTTTGACATTATACGTATGCATGTACATACTACATGTGGACCTCTTTCAGATTTGTTGATTTTGTGATGATATCTTCAATTATCTAATTTCGATGAATATTTTGGCACTGCACTACGCTGCACTGCACTACAGTATACTACACTTGACTATGCTATGCTGCGCCATATCACTCCACACCACGCTGCTCAGAAATGCCAACTAATATTGCTCGATATGAAAAAGACGAAAAAATATAGTCATACAACCGTATCATTGCAAGTCAGCACCATGGTGTCATTATCTAAATGTGAATCCTTTGAAAAAATTAAACTTGTACTGGTGTAACTTTTTCTGTTAAGAACACTGTAAGAAATCTGAATAATTATTGATCTATACATGGATACTAATGAGCTAAAAATACTGGTAGTTGAGTTGAGAATGGGAGAGCCCCATATTTAACCCTGAAGGTGAAACATCCTGGTACTTTTTATTGATACATGATAAAAATGATTACTTTAAATGTATTATGATGATTTTTTTTCTTGCTGTTTTGGAGGCAATGATTACATGGAATAACACTGATCGATTATCGTTGTTATGTCATCATTCTGATGCTAACCTTCAACCGTGAACAAGTAAAAGTAACTTGTTGAAAATCTTATTGCTCTTTTTTGGAAATAAGTGTTGATTTAAGGAATAGCAACTTTATTAGTTGTGAAATTACGAAATTATAGTATCAATGTCAAATCTGAAAATGAAATTTGTTTTTGCTTCAAAACTTAAAGGTCAAAAAAACATTTGTAAGAAACAAATTGTGCATGTTCATATGCAAAATTTATGCTTGTATCTTGTGTCATTATGTCTCCATTTTTGTTTTTGGTATGTTTCAATATTATTTTGGCAAAACAGCCAATGCTGTTTCTGACTTCTCAATTTTGCACGAAAATCATGATGACATTGACTGTTGGCTTGTGACTTTCTCAATTAATATTAATTAATAGGTTACAGCATTATTTACAAGTTTTATGAGCAAGCTGTGATGTTCCTGATTGAAGATTCGTGGTTCAATAACATTGTTACACAGATATGCACTATGTTATTTGGATAATCACTACCTTTAAAGAATAGGCACAGTATTTTCTTGTACATGTAACATGTTAAGTTTTGTAATCTTCTGAATGAGTGCATGGGATAGTATCACCTAGCTTGTATATACAGTGTACATGTACATTGCATGTGCACACGGTACAATGTATAAGATAGAAATAAAACATGATACATACAATTGTATTCAAGTGGCCAATTGGTATACCTTACTGTATACTGGTTATACGTAAACATGCTTACAATTTTGTTTGTTTTTTTTTAAAAATTATTAAACAAAAAACATGATAAAAAAACTAAGATTCGAAGAAATGAAATAATCTGTTTATAACAATTTATTTTTAAAAAAATGCTGTAAAAAATCTAAGATTTGAAGTAGTGACATGAGTTGTACATGGTGAATTATTCTCCTGAGTTAATTTAACAATTTTCAATAAAACAAGATGATATTACTAGTATTCATATCTGAATGTCAAATATCAATAAAATATTGAGTCATTATATTGCCGTTATTGCAAAATTCCCAGAAAAATCCTCTCAATAATTCTTTGAAATTTTAATAATAAACTGTTTTTTTTTAGTTTTAAGTCTTTTCCTAAGTGGTTTGTGAGTAATTGCATGTAGCTGTTTTTTTACCTCATCAAATTATAATTTATTACGTTACATGCTTGTTTTGCATCTTCGCTCTGTCTAATGGCACTAACAGATCTAGACAAGTCTAAGAATACTAAGCAGTGCCTATAATATACTTGTAAACCATTTAACTAATTTTTGCTGCTAGAAATTTCACGATTTTAAGATTTTATAAATCACAAAATTCATTGATACTCCAATTTTAAAAATTCAATGATACTCCGTGTTGTTTGCCACCCAGAGAAATTTTTACCACTACAAAATTTCATAATTTGCACTTATTTGTCAAATTCATGAAAATGTTGTTTCTTGATTACGAATTAAATCGATTACAGTAGGTCACTGATTGATTGATCATTGAAAGGTGTATTGCCAGTTCAGTGAGTTTAATCGTATTTTAAAATCTCTCTCTTGCACAGACAGATACTGATAAGGTCAGAATAGGTCAAAGCTTTCATGCCTACAGTCAAGAAATCATGTGATCATCTATTACCGGTATACTAGAAAGTAGATCTCTACTGGTGGTACCTGTGATATTTAAAGAATTATACCTGCTTTCAGTTAATTCAACAACACTACATGTATTTCATGCACAATATTAATAATTTAATTTATTTGATGTATGAAAATATTCATAATTTTAAAATCAGATGTACATTTGATTGTTAGTATACAAATTAAAGACTACAGTCACAACTATGTTACTGATCAGCTCTATATAATCACCACTTGCATATAGAGACGACTTTCAGGCAGTCCCAAGGGTAATATACTGTATGAGCAATATTCAGCAATATTTAACAGATTCTAATAATTAGCATTCTGTTTATAAAACAATTTCTCCAAATCAAACGTTTTCTTTGTTGCAACATCTCATTATTTTTTCGATAATATTATATCCCTGCTAGCAGACAGTGAAGTAAAACAAATTGAAAAACCCAGTAAGCCTTACATTCATTCGTGAATGAGTCAACAGTTCCAGTGGCGTGTTTCAAAAATACATGTACAAATGCAAATTTAGTTTCACTGCATTTATCTACCAATTCTTACAATTACATGCAATCACAGTGCATAGTCTTGTCACTTGTCTAATTTAAATTCTAATTCTAGATTGTGTGTCTGCTCATTATATATCAATGCGTTTACTGTTTTTGTGACAATATAGCATTTGAAATTTTGAATTTATTTCCCAGACGTATGTAAAACAGCATGCAGTTTTGTGTCCTAATTGACGTTACATGGCATTGTGATATACGTTCCAGACCAGTATTCGAGTATACATGTACATTTTGTATACAAGTATTTGATATGAAATTAATAAAATGCTACCATAAAGTAGCACAAATATTAATAATCGCCCTTCCTAGCATCTTGATTACTGTAAAATATTTTTGTTTGAAACTATTTTTACTGAGGGAATGTTTCAGTGAAAATAAAATCCAGCAAATATACATTTTTTTCCTATATTTTACACTCAACTCGCCAAAATTCATTGAAAATATATCCCATACAAAAACACCTTTTCAGTGAAAATTAATTCCCGCTAATATAAAGTATTTTACAGTAAACTGAGATATGCATGTCATTGCTTACAGATCCCAATGGCACCCTATGGGTAATTTCATTGCTTCTGCTGGAGATGATTGCTCATCAATGTTATTATATACTGCTAACCTTAAGAAACCTGGCTCTGTTTCATTTACTTACCAATATTCTGATGACGATACTATATTTCATGTGTATGTAAGTATCAACTAACCCATACTAATTAATCTGAGCATTGTCATCCGCATGGTCCATTTAAGTATTATATGTATCAAAATGATATGAGTCAAGTAAGAGTACAACAACCAAACCTGTTATGTTAAACTTCATAGAAGTGCATGTACAGTTGTATGTCACCACAGCAAATCCAGATACCTGTATCCTACTCGGATCTTTGAAAGTGGATCTACTTTTAGATAGTCACCCAACATTCTTACTACTAATAATAAATAACAATTCATGTTGAACTTATGCATGTCAATTCATGTTTGTTTCCCCTGACATCCCTGCAAATGTGAGGAAACTACATGCATGTAATACATAGCTAATAACCCAGTGAGTCAGCTGTCCTCAGTATAGATCCCTACAGTGTGAAGGGGACTACTTGTATGTAATACCTAGTAACCTGGTGGACCCGTGTCCCACCAATGTTGGTGTAGATTATTGAAAAAAAGCGGATTCTAAAAAATCCACTTATTAGTTTGATCTAATGCACACATGTTTCTACTTTTCAGACCCACAGGTACAGTGTAAGAGTAGTGTTATAATAGAAGCTATTAATTACTGTACATAGTAAAGGCATGTGTGAGCTGAAATTATCGCTTGGTGTTTTTAGAAGGGACCTAAGCTTACACAATTATTAGTACTTTAATACATGTATGTTTCTAATAGAGCAAATACACTGTCTATCAATACACAAAGATAAATAAATACTCTACATATGCTGCAGTTTTTCATAATATTATTATTTATAATAAAGGTCTGCATGACTGTATGTGTATGCAGTGATATAAGGATCACATGTATGAACTACTAAATCATACATCTAGTGTTAATAAACAAATCCCTGGGCATTCTCTACTCAGGCCCAGAATGATCAGTGTCAAACATTGAAGGATACGAATGCTAATAGATGGCCCCAAGCTACTGGTGATGGTGAATGGAAGAAAATAACAGTAAGTAAATATGTGTATGCTAATCATGTTGACAGGCTACTCATGTCATTGAGTATCTCTGGAAATTGACATGTATACAACCACTCAAGTATCTTATAGCAATTTATATAGGATTTGATCCTGTATACTGATATTAAATTTTTCTTAATCCTAGTATTCCATACATTTGTACATGTATTTGAGTATTTATTTAACACTTTATTTAAAGAGGGTAGGCCAATATACACACTATAGTCTTGAGCCATTTACAACAAATTTGTCACTAAGATATATTTTGTAAGTTTTCTTAAAAATTACTAATGAGGCTGAATTTCTGATATGGTAACGTAAGTTATTTTATAGGGTATAGTATCCCCATCAAGCCCTCAAAAAAGAGCCACTCAATGTAAATTTGTTAAATTTAATCTTTCTCTAATTGTTTCTTTCTTGACATACCGGGGTATTGTAATATTGAAGAAAGTTGTTTCTCATCTGTTTGCATGTTGGCAAAATAGATGCCTCAAATAAGCTCCTCTCAGGATTGAAAGACATAGTTAGATTATTTCAGGTTTTTTAACTAATAATATTTGTATTTGTAAAGGTCATTTGACATTTCTGCAACCAAATTACAGGCATGCACACATCTACTTGAGTCTCACTCACCATACCATCATATTGTACATGTTTTATTGATATTTGTAGATGTCACTGAAATCTGGTTTGAATGTCATCTATTGGAAGACAATGGGAGTTGATTTTGAGACTTCATCAAGAAAGAAAAAATCTAAACCTGTACTGATTCGTGAAATTGAAGTTATGGGCATTGCCTACACATCTGAGTGCACCAAATGTCCCAATGGTACTTTCAGCAAAGAGGAAGGCTCCATTTAGTGAGTAACGTGAATTCCTGGATCTCTGCTAGTATTTTATTAGCTTCATAAAATTGTCATAATGATTTGTGGATTATTTTATTATTTTTATCTTTGTTTTGAGAAAAAAAGGAAAAAGCAATAATTGTCAGTAGTTGACAGGATTTTTATGTGACTTTAAAACAATTAGCCCTTTATTAATCAGGGCCTGCATTTTTGTATTCTTCTTTTATTACAAATCTGGAAAGTGTGAACTTCCTGTTTCAAGTTGCCTACTGGACAAATTCATCAAACCCAACATGGCAACAATACATACAGGTTTAAAGTGGCAATAGCTGTGATTTTGAAATTATTATTGCCAAGACTGTTTGGATAATAAAAAGCAAAAAAAAAAAAATTTCACTCCCAAGTGCCCACGAACCTGCATCTCTACCTTAATGTACACTGTTGGTATATAGACGTATATGATAGGTGATAGCTGGTACAAATTGACTAATTTTTATTAAAAATAAAAGTCCGAGAAAAAGATCAATAGTTACAGCTATTCTCGCTTTCACATTTCTTTTGAAAAATATTCCTACATAGCTGTATAGGCCAGCCTACTCATCCTGTTGACAGTAATTAAATGCAAACATTTATGTAAAAGTAAAAGTTAAAACTATTTTGTGTTCAGCGTTACCAGTAGTTACCAATGTTGGCCTGATAACACAAGTTATTTCAGCAGAAATTTTTAATTTGAGGACAAATTGTACATGCTATAAAATGCTCGTTATAAGACATAATCTTTATACACTGCATTTTGTTTTTCAGCTGTGAGCAGTGCCCAGAAAATACTTTTTCAGAGAGTGGTCAAAGTGAGTGTAAACCTTGCCTTGCCAAACAGTATTCAGGTGAGCATCTGTTTCTCATTTAAAGTTTTATATATCTCAATAAATAACATAGTTGCTCTGATTGTGATCATTCCAAGCTAATTGCATCTCATCACTGTGTTTCAACATCAGAGGATGTTGACAAACTGATCAATTAGCAAATTACATGTACAATGTATGAATATTATCTCTGGACTATTTGTCTCATTGTCATTATCAGGATAATGAAACATTTTAATATTGAACTCCAACTTTGGCAAACTCCTTCAATAGCAGCCACACAAGAAATGTAATTTTCAATATCGGTCAATAAATAAAAGAAACACGTTTTTATATGGTATTGTTTTTTCACTATACAGCTGCTGGGGCTGCCGTTTGTATTGAACGTAAACCATGTACTGCCAAAGATTATTTTGAAGTACACGGTCCTTGTGATGAAAACAAACAGGTAAAAAATTTTACAATTGGTTGAGGATACTAAGTTCTAATAATATTGATAATTAGCATAGTTAAATATGTTTGGGCTGAAATTAAAAATTGTATGTCACCTTCTCCATTGTGGGGTTAATGTCATTTGGGTGTTAGCATTCCTTTCTGAGAAACAAAAGTCCAAGATGTCATGGAAATTGCACTGGATTTTATGGTGCATGGCGACATGGGATGTAACAGTAGTATGGTATTATTGATATGAAACGTTTCCAAAAATTTACATTTACTTTTAATAAGTTTCTAGTGTGATAATATTGTTCTATTATACACTGTGGGTAACTTCCTTTCCAGTGTGATAATAGTTTTCTAATAGTTTTCAGTGGGAAATTTTCTATGTGCAGTAACATGCTTAGTAGTACACATTTTGTCTCAGACTGCCTTAACTTGTAATTTGTCTTTCAGAAAGTATTAACATGTGTGTTCATATTTCTGTTTCAGACTCAGTTGATGTACAAATGGATTGCACCCAAGATATGTAGTGATGGTAAAGGTGCTGTAGCGTTACCGACATCTGGTAAAAAAGAAGACTGCCCTCCTTGTAATCCTGGCATGAGTTTTTATAACAACACTCATTGTCAGTTCTGTCCAGAAAATCAGTTCTCAAATGGTGAAAACGGTAAGCATCGAGTGAACACTTCTTCTTTCACAGTTTGTAGACCTGTCACAAAACATGTTGAATTTCTTTTGAAGACATGCTTGTTAGAGTTGAATAAATGATTCCAAATGCAAGATAATATTCATGCTTATCATTAATGCTGTACACATCTTGAAACTGTCAGTAGTAATTGACTATGGACAGTAAACAGTTAATGATGGTAATGCTAGATATGGGCTTCGGGGCTAACTTGTGTTTTTGTTAACATGTTTCAGCATGCAAGACTTGCCCGGCTTCCACTGCTCCCATATATGGTATGGAATTTAAATGGTGGAATACTATGCCTCCAAACTTGGATACATCATGCCTCAGTGTCTCAGGTAAAATCTTGCTATCGTTTGATATATATACTCATTCCTTTTCACCTCTGTGCACTCATGCATGTGTCCTTGCATCTACACACATATCTCGGAGATCCCTGGATGAAACGAGTACATCATACACCATGCCACACATATTTCATGACTGAATTAAACCTGGTCGAATGGCCTCCTTATAAAAAAACGAAAATACATCAAAATCAAGCACAGGGACTGTGTCATCCCTTCCCTCTACATTTCCTCAGATTATGGATGTCCTGAAGATGGTTTTGTCTTATTTGGTGATCACATCCAGTCTTCTCAAGGTAGTGACGATGACGCATATCTCATACTGTCGCTACACACTGATGGGTTCCGCAGTGCATCAGCAGTCTACAATGGCAAACCCGGTGAAGTTGGTCGTGTAACGTTTGTCTTTGAGTTGATCTGTTCTGGAGACTGTGGGTTTTATTTCATGGAAGAAGACGATCGGGATTCAGATGTGATTGAAAGTTGGGAAAAATCCATGGATAAATTTGAATACAGGTTAGTTGAGTTTGAATGCAAGGAAAAGCTGTCTCATAGAGTTCCTAAAGAAGTGTGTGTGGCCACCGTATTTTGACTGTTTGTACTTCATTGGGCGCTCTAATGATAATTATTGTTGATATTGTTTGATTGTTCCCCGATGGTCTGTTTGATAATACAATTCAAAACAAGGTGTTGGATTTTCAACCTCAACTCTCGTCATCTTTCACAAAATATAAATCTGCATATTTTTTCAATACTTAATAAAAATGTTCATGAAGACCTGGATGATGGGAAAATTATTTCACCTGGTGCAATTGAGAAGTTTCGCTTTTACAATAGAAACTTGCACACTCTGATGTAAAACATTTCAATTCTGCTGCGTAAACGTTCGGTAGTTCATCAGAGCGCTGAACACCAGTGGATAAATTGTGCGTGCGAACTTGAAATAAACCTTTCATTCTCGCTGTCTAACTGATGGCACTGTAACTCAAAACTCGTCAATTACAGGTTAATGTTTATTAAAACTCTTTGTCTCTGTGTGGTTTTCATTGAATACTATTTTCATCTAACTCTTTAGTAGCTGATGTAAAGCGTAAGTCAGTGAGGTAAATAATGATTATTACATATGCATTGTAGCAGGGTTTGGTTTGCAAGGTGCAATGGAAATTCAAATTTTAATTTGATATTGTAGTTTAACATAGAATCCTGATTGAGTAGATGCATACACAATTAGTAGACATATGAGCTGTGATTGGTTGCTGTGGGTGTACTGTAAAACATTTCACTTGGGTAGTTGGATTTTAATGTTTTATTGTCATACTGACATTTATGACATTCAGACTATTAAAATGTGATGCTAATACAGCCTTAAAACATTTGCAAAATATGACACATTTGCCATTACATTTCTGTAAACAAATACATACACAACTTAAAATAACTATCACCTTATCGAAGATTATGTACGTGTGCTGCAATAGAGCCCACA